AGGTGCTGAGCTTGGGGGTGCTGGGCCTGAGGGAGCTGGGCCTGCTCGTGTGGCGTCTGGCGGTGCTGAGCCTGGAGGTTCTCCGGGTGCTTCGTCTCGGCGGGAGCCACTCTCTCCACAGGAGCTGCGCGAGTGGTTTGCCCGGCGCTGGAGGCGTGCTGCTGGAGCTGGAGGTTCTTCGGCTGCTGAGGGTGCTGGTGCCGCGGGTCCCGGAGGTGCTCGTACTGGGAGTACTGGAGCTGCTGGGCCTGCGGGTACGACTGGAGCTGGAGCTGCTGAGGGTGTTGGCGCTGAGGCTACTGCTGTCGGTCCTGGAGGCGGTCCTGCTGGGGGTGCTACTGGTGCTACTGGAGGTACTGGAGCTGGAGGTGCTGCTGGCGCTGGTGCTGCCGCTGGGGGTACTGGTGCTGTCCCTGCTGTGTCTGGAGTCGCCGCGCGGCCTAGGCCGTACTTCGTTCCGCTCCTTCAGCAGGTTGCCTTCTACTGGTCCTCCTCCTCCCTTAGAGTGTCCACAGCCTGTCCCGTCACAGTTACAGTTACAGCTGGCCTCCCCACTGCCCGCTCCTTCTCCCTACACTGGTCCTACTGGAGGTCTTGCTGAGCGTCGTGAGCCTGCGTCTCGCCCTGCGTCGCCTGTCCGTGCTGCTCGCACTAGTGGTCGTGGTTCGCGTCAGCGTCCTCCTCCTGTCCCTGGCACGCACCGGATGTCTCTGCGTCCGTCCACTGCTCCTCTGCGTGCCCCTTTGCCTTCTCCTCCTGAGTCCTCTCTTCCTGCTCTTCCTGACCCGGAGTCGGACTCTCTTTGTGCTGCCAGTCCTACTGTCACGCGTCTCCTTGCTACTGTTGTCACTGACCCTTCCTTTGAGTCCACTGCTGCGTCTGCCCTAGTTACTGAGCTCGTCGACTTTGCTGCTCGCTGTCGTCTAGACTACGCTGCTAGTCTTGTTGCTGAGTCTGAGTCTGTGTGTCCTCCGTCCGTCGGGGGTGAGTGTGCCCTTGGCACGGACGTCCTTGAGGACAGGCAGGAGGAGTTCCAGTGTTTGGCTGCTGCTTCACCTCATCTCGTGTCCGTACTGCTTACCCCTGAGGGAGACCCGGATGCACTTGACATCCCGACTCCGCGCTCTTACACGGAGGCGATAGAGGGTCCCTACTCCTCTCAGTGGCAGGCAGCTATGGACGCAGAGATGGCTTCCTGGAAGTCCACAGGCACCTACGTTGACGAGGTTCCCCCGCCTGGGGCGAACATCGTCAGTGGCATGTGGATTTTCAGGGTGAAGCGGCCGCCGGGTTCTCCGCCTGTCTTCAAGGCGCGTTACGTGGCTCGTGGCTTCAGTCAGCGACAGGGAGTTGACTACTTTCAGACCTTCTCTCCCACCCCGAAGATGACCACTCTTCGGGTACTGCTGCACATAGCTGCTCACCGCGACTACGAGCTGCACTCTCTTGACTTCAGCACTGCTTTCTTGCAGGGCAGCCTGCACGAGGAGATCTGGCTGCGTCGCCCACCTGGCTTCACTGGGTCCTTTCCTCCTGGCACCCAGTGGAGCCTCCGGCGGCCAGTCTACGGTCTCCGCCAGGCACCGCGTGAGTGGCACGACACACTGAGGACTACACTTGCGGCTCTTGGGTTTGCTCCCTCTACTGCCGACCCGTCGCTGTTTCTGCGCACCGACACTTCTTTGCCGCCGTTCTACATCCTCGTGTACGTCGACGACTTGGTCTTTGCCACAGCTGACACTGCTGGACTCGCCCACGTGAAGTCCGAGCTGCAGAAGAGACACACGTGCACAGACCTGGGTGAACTGCGCAGCTACCTTGGCTTGCAGATCACCCGGGACAGAGCACGCCGCACCATTACCCTGACTCAGTCACACATGGTGCAGCAGGTCCTTCAGCGCTTCGGCTTCACGTACTCCTCGCCTCAGGCCACTCCTCTGCCTATTCGCCACTCGCTCTCAGCTCTGCCTTCGGATGAGTCCGTAGAGTCGAGTGGCCCGTACCCAGAGCTTGTTGGCTGCCTCATGTACCTGATGACCTGCACACGACCTGACCTTGCATACCCTCTTAGCATTCTTGCACGCTATGTTGCTCCTGGGAGACACAGACCGGAGCACATGGCTGCAGCGAAGAGGGTGTTGCGCTACTTGTGCAGTACGTCGGGCATGGGGCTTGTGCTTGGAGGGCAGAGTCCAGTGGTCCTCACTGGGCACGCAGACGCTTCTTGGGCTGACGACCAGGCTACGCAGCGGTCGTCACAGGGTTACACCTTCAGCCTTGGTTCCGGCTCTGTTTCGTGGCGGGCTACCCGCTCGTCTTCTGTTCTCGGCTCCAGTTGTGAGGCTGAGATCTACGCCGGGGCCATGGCTGCACAGGAGCTTCGCTGGCTCACCTACCTGCTGACTGACCTCGGAGAGCCGCCTCGTTCTCCTCCAGTGCTGTACGTAGACAACAAGGCCATGCTGGCCTTGTGTCGAGAGCAGAGACTGGAGCACAGAACGAAGCACATTGCTCTCCGCTACTTCCTTGCTCGTGAGCTACAGCAGCGTGGTCAGCTGCGGCTTGCGTACGTGGCCTCTCAGGCCAACACTGCTGATATCTTCACCAAGGCACTTGCGCCTTGTGATCATCAGCGCTTCTGTACTCAGCTGGGTCTTGTGCCTACCTTGCCTCACTTGCTCACCCCTTGACATTGTTTGTACTGTTGCATATATATATACACCTGCTCTTGCTTGTCTAGCCTTATATATATATGTAATCCTGCATGTGAACTGGCCTTGTGGCCTTGAACTTGTGCTCGGAATGTGTGGTGACTTTGTGATCCACCCTGAGCTTGTTTTGCTTTGCTTGACTGGTCTTGTGACCCCTTGTTCTCCCCCACTTTGCCTATGGGGGTGTGTCAGATTTATATGACATAGCTACTGTAGGCTATAGTGGGGTAGCACATATGGGGTACAGTTTTCTAGGGTTTGCATTTGTACCCAACTTTCCCTTAGTCATTTTTATTCCTCGTTTCTTCTCACGACGTGCGAAGGTGGCGGGCGGATTGTCGATGCGAGGATTGCGAGTGGTAACGGTGCTGACTGTGGTGCTACAGTGATGTACGCGTTGAGCAGGGACGCGAAGTAAGGAAAAAGAGATTTTCCTTACACTAGGCATGATCGTACGTTGAATAGCACAGTGGAAGAGCTACATCAACCATACAGAAATGACACAAAGTGTGCTCTCTTTGATGATGAATACAGAGTAATAAAATAGTGGAAGTAATACATATATTCAAATAATACATTTATTAAATTATTCTCGTACCATCATCATAGGTTGTTCTAGATGCTTTGCAGTAATAATAATGCTGCTTATTAAACAAGTGCTTACCTATGCAAGAGGTTAGATATAGACTACATTGCTCTTGTAGAGAAGCAACCAGGGCTGACGTTTCAAAAAACGCCTCCCTGTTTTTGACCCGCATTTTTTTTTTCTACTCTGACGGCACTTCGGCCGCAAAATGGCCACTCTGAGCGTGTTAAAAGAAATCAGGGTTGAAAAAAACATAACTCTGGTCCTTCAGTGTTGGGGAAATGACTTCAGAGTCGCGGTTTTTTTTTGTTTTTTCCTTCTGGTTTGTCGGTGAGCTTCAAGGGCGAGAAGGACTGTTGCAACATTGGCTCGATTTGGCGCAACTTTGCAAGTGCCAACTGGGCGGCCTGCCACGCAGCTGAGCTGGCACAAAACACAAACCACCACTTGGCGCGCGAGAATCTGCCGGTGCCTCCGCAACATAAATTTTCAACCTATGAATCAGGAACAATTTATTTCAAGTGCTGTGGTGCGGAGAAATTTTCGATTTCAGCACCAAAAAGTGCGATACATTACCTGTGGCAAGATATCCTCTCCCACCGATTCGCCGATTTGTTGTGCTATCCGCTAAGACATCACTATTGGGCTTCTTTTTCTAGCCCGCTTCAACGGTTAACCCACTGTGGGACACAATTCAACCTGCGTGATACTGCCACAGATAGAGTGTATTCAGATATCGCAGCAGGTGCTGTGTGCTTTGCTCACGTGTTGGCATTCGCTGCCACCTCGGAGGTGGGTGTATCGAAAGAAAATTTCGAGGAAGCTTCCTCCCGATAAACTCGCATGCAGGGACCACAGAACGCATACTCTGTAGTGACAGACTCCAGAAATGACTAACACTTAGGCCTATTACACTGAATCAGGGGCCATAAAACAATAACTCTGAGGCTCTCAGTGATGAAAATTTGACTACTCTGGAATTCCATTTTTCACAAACTCGATGGTCTGATCCGTCAGACTAATCAGACTATTTACTCTGATAGCGTCAGCCCTGGAAGCAACCAACAGCTGGTGTTCAGAGTCGTGTTCGCTACATCATACTCCATTGGGAAGTGGCGAATGGCTCTCCCCTCGTCCACGTCGCCATCGATTTCGCCGTACTTCGTGGGTTTTTCACTTTCAGCTTTTACCATACCGAACCCTTTTACTCTGCCATAAATACTTCTGGAACGTAAAGAAAACAACTTGAACCGCAGGAAAGTGATCTCACATGATGCCCTCGGACTTCGTGACCTCAAGTTTTCTGAAAGAACTTGTATCAACTTTCTGGCTGCGAAACTTTGTCAGTGTGAGAATGGCCAGGCGAAAGCCAACCCCCTCTGCTCCCGCTCAGACCTCTCGGATCACAGACTTCATGGCTCCTTCAACAAGCAAAATAATGAGAACCAGTGATTTCAACCATCGATTAACGGAAGAAAATAGCGTCACGGTGACGCTAGATTCAGAAGCCATGGAAAATGCTCCCGAAGATCGTGAGCCTGCAAGTAACGGAGAAGAAACCCAGACGGAAGACAGAAGTGTGCCAGATCCCGTCAGTGTCTTGACGAAGTATTTCGGATATGTCAGGTTAGCCTCGTTATCTTATCGGTAAATGCGGAAGTTGAAAAGCCGTATTCAACCGTGCGCTTGCTGTCTTGATGCAGTTTTCGCGGGAATCAGGAAGAAGTTATCAGAACCGTTTTATCAGGTACTTACCCCGCTTACTAAACGTTTCCGTCGCGCAGAATGAGTGAGTGCTCTACGGAATCGTCGTGAGACTCCTGAAAGCCTGATATATCAGTGAATGCTCGCTTTCAGGGTCTGACTGCTTCTGCATAATGCCGACTGGAGGTGGCAAGTCGCTGTGCTACGAAATTCCTGCGCTGATGAAACCGGGTGTCGTCATCGTCGTCTCTCCGCTCATTGGTCAGCGAACGTCACACCATACGCTCCGTGCATACCTCTTCGCGTCGTTTAGTCCCGTTTTAAACTGAAGATTTCCAGCTGAAACCGTGTTCCCGTGCTGCTGCTGCTGGTTCGTCATCTCCCACAAACTGACGTCAAGCTTTGTGAATCATCGCTACAGTTCCTCACTCCCTCCTGAGATACTCTAGTTTCTTCGAGAAAATCAAAACGTGACTCCGATCTCTTCTTACCACTCCTGCATGTTGCAGCGTTGATGCAGAATCAAGTGGAGTCTTTAAGGAAGAAGAGCATACCAGCGGAATATCTCTCATCATCCATTTCTGCTGCACGGCGGGCAAATGTAACTGCGAACATGCACTTTCCATCATCCATTTCAGCTGCATGCATGCTAGTCTCTTTCTTCTCCTTTTCTAACCATACTGCAATTCTCGTTCGTTCAGATTCTCGCCGACCTGGGGAATGGACGGCCAGCACTGAAGCTGCTGTATGTGACGCCAGAAGCAGTGGACACCCACACCATACTGAGCGTGTTAAGGAAGCTTCATGACAGAGGGTTGCTCAGCCTCTTTGCTGTAGATGAGGTGAGGTGAATAGGTTTGTTAATAAACAATCCAGGGGCTTACAGATAGACAAAAATGGAGATTTTCTCAGATTCTTTGCAGTACATGCGCATCCTGCTTTTGAAACGTGACAGTGGATGCAGTGGACGGTACACACCATACTAGCGTGTTGAAAGAAGCTCCACGAGAAAAGGCTTTTCAGCGTTCGTCACATGTGTTTCGACCATTCTGGTGCAGGCCCATTGCATTTCATCATGGGGGCATGACTTCAGGCCTGCATATCGCAGACTCTCCTCTCTTCGACAACGGTTCTCCAACGTTCCAATCCTTGCTCTCACTGCCACAGCTGTTGCAAAGTAGGCGCCCCCAGACCATGGCCTCCTTATTGCATGACTTGACCCTCCTCAAGCAGGCCTTGGAGTTCCATTTCCTTCCCCCCCCAGTTGCTTCTACCTGCTGGTTGGAGTTACACGACACTTCCTTCCTTTTGACTTCAATCTGCTGGTTGCTTCTTTCAATGTCCCCGCCGTAGGAGCAGACCATTCTGTGCTTGGTGTGCAAGCTGCACGCAGTTCAATCTGTTTGCTGGTTGATGTGTGTCTGTGTGTATGTGCAGAGTGAGGGAGGACATTGTTTCCTCCCTCTGCCTTCGCAACCCTACAACTCTTATCTCCTCTTTCAACAGACCCAACATCTACTACGAAGGTGATTGTTGATGCCTGCCCAACGGTAACTAATACTGTCTGCCTCATTTCGCAACCCTACAACACTGATCTCCTCCTTCAACAGACCCAACATCTACTACGAAGGTGACATTCAATACCTGTCCAACGATAACAATCTCTGCCTGCTTCATCCCGTTAATTCACTGCTTTCCCTGTGCATGCCAGTGCATAACTCTGCACAAGGAAAATCGCTTGCTTCCTCATCGCAAGTGTGTCTCTCATACCTGTGCGGCTGCGTGCATATCTCCCATCACCTCCCCCACCCAGTGCGCTACAAGGACCTGATGGACCCTTACAAGGACCTGATGGACCCGTACAAGGACCTGATGGACCCTCACAAGGACCTGCGTGACACCTCACCTACCTCCTACCATTTTGCCCCCTGCCCACCCCTTTCCCCCCACCAGTACGCTACAAGGACCTGATCGACCCTTACAAGGACCTGTGGGACACCTTACCTACCTCCTACCATTCTGCGTCCTGCCCATCCCCCTGGCCCCCACCCCACCCCTGCTCCCTCACACACCAGTGCGCTACAAGGACCTGATGGACCCTTACAAAGACTTACGTGATACACTGCTGGCATCGAAGCAGCAGTGCGGCATCATCTACTGCCACTCCCGCAGCACCTGTGACGAGCTCGCTTGCTACCTCACCCGTGACGGTCTCAAATGCAAAGGTGGGTGTTTTGGGTGCAATAAGGGGAGGGGAACGCTTTGGCTGGGGATGCTCTGCCTGTGTGTGTGTGTGTGCGCGCACGCACGTGTGTACGGCTGCAGCATTGGCCTACCTGGAAGCAGTGCGGCATCAACTACTGCCACTCCCACAGCACCTGTGACGAGCTGGCTTGCTGGCTCAACGGGCTTCGGTGCAAAGGTGCACGCTGGGGGGGGAAGGGGGGAGGAGTGGGGAATCAGGGGAGCAGGAGATGGGGAGTGGGGGGAACTGGAAGGGAGGGACGTTGGTTGGATGAAAGAAGGAGGAGGGGACGGAAGGGGGAGGGAGCGACAGGAGGCAAGGGAAGGGAGGGGCATGGGGTGGGGATGGGGACGGGTTGAGTGAAGATGCTTTGCCTATGTGTTTCTGCACTGATCTCCCACTCGTGTCACTTTTCATCTATGTACCATGCAGGGCTGTCAGCTTCAGCAGCATGTGTGAGAGAACTCTGAAAATATCTGAACTATCTTGGGAGCGAGGGGGGAGAGTGTTGGCTGGGAGTTCTTTGTCTTTGGCTGCGTGTGCCATGCAGGGCTGTTAGTCTCTCACATGGGTGCACTGGCCGCATCGACCCCTGCCTGCTCTTTCTGTTCGCCCTCCGGCAGTGTACCAAGGAGGGCTGTCCGCCTCAGCGCGCACGGAAGCACCGGAGGACTGGTCACAAGGGAAGGTCCCCATTCTGATCACCACTCTCTCTTTCTCTCTGCCTGCATGTGGCCGCATTGACCCCTGCCTGCGCTTGCTGTTTGCTCTCCTGCAGTGTACCATGCAGGGCTCTCCACCGCAGCTCGCACCGAAGCACTGGAGGACTGGTCACGGGGGAAGATCCCCATTATGATCGCCACTGTCGCCTTTGGGTATGTCAGTCGTGCTCACATTGTGATTATATCAATCAATCTAGCAGCTGCTGTGTATATCCATTATTCTGTGACTCTTGTAGCAGTCCACTCCTGCTGCATCCTCATCTCTTTTCCTTAATCGATTCTGTCTTTCTGCTCTGCCTGCTGTTTCTGCTGTTTCGATCCCATGCAGAATGGTAAGCTGGTCCCACCATTTATTTCCTCCCGCTCTCCTCGGCCACGTCAGTTAAGATAAGTCAATAACCAGAAAGAGCCTCAAATGTTGCATAGAAGCAGAGTGAACCTAAGTGCATCTGACTGCAACTGACGGTGACTGAATGCATCCAAGTGCCCTCCTGGCGGTCGAGCAGCCGGGCTGCAGTCGAAGCAGCGATGTGCCACTACTCCCTGAACAAGTCCATCTACCCCCTTTTCGAGGCCAGGGCGAGCAAAAGGGACCAGCAACTCTGGGTTGACGCTTTTTATAATCCGTTCCCTGGTCTTGCCCCCCTACCAGCAGGGCATTGACCGTGGGATAGTGCGGCTGGTGTGCCACTACTCGCTGCCCAAGTCCGTAGAGGCGTTCTACCAGGAGAAATAGAGAGACAATCAGCCCTGGTTCAGAGCGGTTCAAAATCGCTTCATTACTCTCCCTCCCCTCTCTGCAGGGCATTGACCGTGGGATAGTGCGGCTGGTGTGCCACTACTCCCTGCCCAAGTCGATCGAGGCATTTTATCAAGAGTCAGGACGAGCAGGCAGGGACCAGCAGCCCTGCCGCAGTATTCTGTACTATGGCGTGCAGGACAAACGGACCATGGTGAGTGGGGCAGGGATCAGGGTAGATAAACAGGCTGGGATTAGCAGCTAAGCCAACAGAGACCAGGGGACCAGCAGCCCTGCCACAGCATTCTGTACTATGGCGTGCAGGACAAACGAACTATGGTGAGTGGGGCCATCAATTTGTGAGATGAAACATTTGTTGTGACTTTGGCTATTCCATTCCGCATCCTCCATTCCCCATCGGCCTATTTCTGTCTCTCCAAGAAATTATAATCAAGCAGGACTACGTTGCACGGGGTAAAGGCACACCATTGTCGCTCCCCTGCTTCCCACCGTCACTCATCCCCAAATTCTCCCTCCTGATCCCTCATCTCCCGTCTCCACCACTTCCGCCGTCTCCCTTTCTCCCACTGTCTCTCCAGGAGTTTATAATCAAGAAGGACGACGGTTCACGGGGTAAAGGCCCGCCACAACCTCAGCGAGTCAAGAACGCACTGGATGCCTTTCAAAAGGTCTGATTCGAAAGCCCTCACTTAGCAAGTACGATATCATTTTGAGAACTCTCAAATGGCTTGCCAGTGCCTCAGCGTGTCAAGAACGCACTGGATGCATTTCAAAAGGTTTGCACAAGAAGCCTTCCTTTTCTTAGGCAGTACCACTCAGCAACTGGATTTAAGCTGGATTCAAGTGCCTTTGGTGGTTGTCTGTCATGAGCCTTCATTTAGTTTGCTCTTCATTGCATGAAATCATGGACTTGATAATCTGCCATGCGCTGTCTTTGAACTGCCCTGAACGCCCCTTTTTCATTTCTGTTGGCTGCTTGTCTTGGTGTGTGGTTGCCAATTCTCTTTGTTTAAATTCCCGCTATCCTCTCTTTTTGCCCATTCTTGTTTTGCGCATTCTTAGTTAGCCCATTCTTTTCTTGGCCGTCTTTTATCGCCCTTTCTTTTTCTGCCCTCCCTTGTTTGCACCAAATGCGTTAGATGGTGGACTATTGCGAGCTCCTGTCATGCCGCCGAATGAAGCTGCTAACGCATTTCGGAGAGACGGTAAGCGTACAAGGCCGCAAAATGTATTTCGTTCAAGTGCTTCAACGCCATATTCTAAAGAGGCAGTGAATGCCGCATGGCATGCATTTTTTTATTTCAGGAAGGTGGAAATTATAGATGTCCCCTTCCATCTCTTCCCGCAGGCCACCCCAAGGCTGTGTGCGGGCGGTTGTGACGTGTGCAAGACACCACATGCAGTGAAGGCAGCTCTTCAGGAGCTTCGGGAGAGCGGTGCCGTGGGGGGAAGTGGCGGTGGCATGCAGCCAAGGGTGCAAATGGGCAGGTGTGTGAAAGGTTCAACTAAAAAGGGGGTGGGGTTCGTTTGGGGAAGTGGAGCGGGTGGACAGGTAAACTGTAGTTCTCGTTTATGTGCTCTCCTGTGGCTCTTGTTCACTTAATCTTCATTTCTTGTGTTCATGTGGGGCAGGGCACCGCTGTCTAGCAAGTTGAAGGATCTGGTGGAGAGCGAGTTCTGGAATAGGGGGGGAGAGAGGGGAGAGGGGGCATAGAAGGAGGAAACACACTTGCACTCACTCCGGTCTTTCTTCTTCGTGTGTTCATGTGGTGCAGGCCACCGCTGTCTTCCAAGTTGAAGGATCTGGTGGAGAGCGAGTTCTGGAAGAGGGATGACGATGAGGAGGAGCCTGAGGAGAGCATCTCCGGCTCTGATGGTGAGAGCACGTGATGTGGGCATGTGCCATCCTGATGCATATGTGACCATGTGTCATTCTGAAGCATATGTGACCATGTGTCATTCTGAAGCATATGTGACCATGTGTCATTCTGAAGCATATGTGACCATGTGTCATTCTGAAGCATATGTGACCATGTGTCATTCTGAAGCATATGTGACCATGTGTCATTCTGAAGCATATGTGACCATGTGTCATTCTGATGCATATGTGACCATGTGTCATTGTGATGAGGAGCCTGAGCCTGAAGAGAGCATTTTCGGCTCTGATGGTGAGGGTACGACTTGATGTGCCACTGTATGTGCGCATGTGGCATTCTAATGATGAGAGAGAGTGACCATGTGCCATTCCGGAGAAAGAATGCAATCCTGCACCTGATCACGTGTGTCTGTTTGTCCTGGTGTACACACCAGGGGAGGACGAAGCAACGGAGAAGATTGCTCGTGTGGAGAGGAGGATGGGAAAGAGGCCCTCGTTTGCCAGCAAAATGGACGCGATGAGTCGGGCTGAGGAGGCGTATAACCGCGAGCATGCAGCGCCGAGAAGCAGGCTGTCATCCCTGCGACAACAGTTTGTAAGTCACGCGATGGAGGGGGTTCGCCCGCATGACAATGCTGTGACTTTTGGGTTGACTCAGAAGTTACCTCGTCACATGATGCGATGCGTTCACCCGCTTGACAATGCTGTCGTGAAAGTTTTCATTCTCGGTAGTGCCAAGCCGCCCCCCAACCTGATACTTTCTTGCCTTCTTATCATGTTGTTCGCTGTTTCTCCTCCTTGCATGCCCACTTAATCTGCATTGTTTGTTTGTTGGTGCATTTTGGCTGATTCTTAATTCTCACCGATTGCTCGCACTCCTCTTGCCCTGCCTGACTTCTTGTTCTCTCCTTGGTTCGTGCAGAAGGTCCCAAGGCTTGCAAGTGGTGTATCGTCTCCCAATACAGGTTTCACATCTGCAAGATCCGTGATGGCAGCATCATCCCTTTCAAATCGGGCACCAAGTAAATCTCGTAACTTCAACACGACTACATTGAACGATGCAAACCAAGCCGATCCTCCAAAACAGAAGGCCAAGCTTCAAATCCCTCCTGTGCCCCTTTCCCAAGATCCGTGGCAGTAACACAATCTCATAATTTTGAATGTGGATGACGTATGGTTCAAAAAAATATTGATTCATTGTGATTGGGATGTTTATATTGTTACCATAGCACAATCAGCAATTGGAGTACTGTAGAACTGTATGGATAAAGAATATAATGATGCTTTTGTACAGTTGTTTTGCCCTCACCTTATTTTCTACGCGGCGTCGTTCGGGTTGGGCTGGCACAACCGTAGAAGGCCATCGCATCCATTTCTTCCCATATCATATATTTATTCCCAGCAGACCCTCACAGGCCATTGACGCAACCAGCTCTCCGTATTCAGTGACGCCGCCATGGAGAAAGGCCTCCCTTGCAGCCCTTGCCAGTGTGGAATTGTAATAACCATCGCTGCGACTGTTTTTTCGTTCTTTGTAATACAGCTGGCCAACCTAGATTTGAAGGGCCATTCATTGTGTCTGCTTCCAGATGGCCTCAAGTCGAAGCATAGCTGTTATGCTCTCATCCCTCCCGAAGGAGACCGCAATGAGAGTGGATTGCAAGAGAGAATGACGGTTAATGCCACAGTGCCAAGGAGACCGAAAAGGTCCCCTGTGCAGTGGACGGAAACGGCTCATGTGATGATCTACGATGCCATAACAGCACTTCAGCATCCGCGGTCATGCGATGACGCGAAGCTCATGGTCGTTGAGGCCGACGTTAGCGGTAACTGAAGAACCTGTTGCACACTTTACTGTGATGCCAATTCTGGCAGGATGCTTTAACAAATAACCCTTACAGGTCTCATGTGGAACTTCCGGTCATTCGTCCGCGCATTATCGCTTGGTATGAAGCTTAATCGCACAGTGATTCCAGCTCCTCGAAGACTCGGCGGAAAGCGCTGGGAGTATGCCACTTTTGATGGCTGTGAAGAGAAGCACCTTGGTTGCTACTTCCCGAATATTACTACTTGCAAGATCCCTGACGACCTCAACACTACCATTTCCTGGAAAGCTTGGAATTTCACCTGCAATGGACAGTGTGACATGGACCGTTTGGCCGAGATTTCAAACGAGCGGGTCATATACTTGGAACCGATGAATGGAGTTTATCCTGGATGGGGTGGAGACATCTGGCCATCGCATTTTTGGACGCAAATGAGGAATGATCCGTTTCGTTTTCTTCAGCGGTGTGGAAATGCAGAGCTGGCAGGATTTTTTCCTGGTTCGGGACCACCATTCATGCTCCATGCCATAATCAGCCAGTGGCTCTTTCAACCCCACGATCACATTCTTGACATTGAAAAGGAGATCTTGAAGCAGTATCGAGGCTGGTCCAGGCCCACCGTGTCTCTCCACATCAGACGAACAGACAAGGAACAAGAAGGTAAGGGCTTTGCCAAGGTTACGCCACCAAACTGGTTCTTTGCTCCTGACTTGTATTTCACTCTGCAGATCCTTTTTGGAGGCTTCATGGTCACCAATACCGAGGATTGAGCAACTACACAAATGCAATTGAGACATCAGCAGCAAATCTAAGCATGCATTGGAACAGCCTCTTCATCATGAGCGACAGCCAGACTGTCATCAAGAATATGGAGAGCTATGTGGCTACTATTTCAGATGCCCCATTGATCATGTTTGACAACTCGACTGACAGAACAGTTCTGGAAAGAGTTGGTGGGCATGTGTATGTCCCTGCAGACAAGAAGAAAGGCATTCAAGATCATTTCCTTGCAAGCTTATCCCTGGCATACAAGATCAGCGACCATGCTATTGGCACGCTTTCCTCGAACGTGTTTCGAGTCTTGGTGCAGCTTATGGGAGCTGAGAGAAAGATGGTACAGACTGAGAGGGTAGGCAGATTGGCGACTTCATTGGATACTCCTGAAGGTTGGGCAGGGTAGCTCATCTGACTTTCTAATAAACCAGCTTTTCAACAAATGCAACAAATTCCCCCAACATGCAATGTTACTTCTCCACATAATTTCTGCAACTAATGAATTGGTTGATGTTGATGTTGATTAGGAAAATTGCTTCTACTCTTATATCTAGTTAATTTAGTTCATGGCTTCGTTTTTACTCCTTACCCAAACGTTCTCAAATATAAAGATATAGGGTTAAAGTGAACCTGCATGACACCCACAAGATTGTACTATACCGAGGCATCCAACCTAGTTTTCGACAAGCTCGAGGAGTGGAAGGTTCAATCACCAGTGTTTTCACCAACGTCATGTCAAGGACTCCACGCTCTGCGCTTAGTCGAAGGGAGTTCCGGCTTATCAACAAGCGTATTCCGTTGCGATTTACTGTTTGGAACGGCCTGAAGACAAGCTAAAAAAAAACGACTTCCAGCAACGTGTAGCTTCATCTCGCAAAGGTCATAGTGATCGAGGCCATTGAAGGCCATTGATCAGGTCCCTTCAATTGATCCCATATATTAAGAACATTGATCGAGGCCACTGATCGAAGCCTCATCGAGGCAATGGATATCGACGAAGACATGATGATGGAAGGCGCGTTACAGGCGTACGAGGCGGATGACGACGACGCGCTGCAGTTGACTCCAGGCCATCAGGACGGCGCACACGAGCAGCACGACCATAGAAACGAGGAGCAGCAGCAGTTGCCGCATCAGGAGGAGTGGTTCAGGGAAGAAGAGATGCACGACGCGAACGGCGCTGCGGCTGCTCTTGCGGGAAATGGATCTGAGAGGGACGCCGGGACGGGTGGTGGGTCGAATCGTGTGGGGGATGGCGCTGAAGCGGCGGGCGACGAGGGAGCGGCGAAGCAGCAGGAGGAGCAGGAGAAACGGGAGGAGAAGGTTCCGGCAGGAATCGGAGCGAAGCGAAAGGTGTATCGTGTTCCGTGCCATGCGAGTGAGTCCACTGCGACCTTGGATGCCCATGTGTTCGTTATGATATGAAAGTCCGATCTTTTTTGGGGGGGTGGGGGAAAGGGGGTGTGGGTGGGGGGGGAGGGGTGGGGGGGGGTGGTAATGGGCTAGGGTGGGTTTGATTTTTAAGCTTGCATGCTTCAGATCATGCACCCTCGCTGATTCTTGTTTCTGTGCCTCTCAGCCAAGCCTGCTTCTGAAACTTTTCTCCTCCACCTACACTTCCTTCATCATGCCCTAATTCATCTCAAATGCATTCTTGTTTTTTTTTCCCTCTTCTCTCTCAACCCTTCTCAATTGCACAGGCTGGTTTCGATGGGACAAGATCCACCCTTTGGAAAAGCGTGGGGTTCCAGAGTTTTTCCTCCCAACACCCCCCCCACAGCCACCAACAGCCACCATGTTTCCTCCTCCTCCCCCTCCCGCCAAAAACCCCACTCTCTACAAGGAATACCGAGACGCCATTATCACCATGTACTGCCAGATGCCGCCATCCGAGTGGCCGCTCACTTTCACACGTGTCCGCCGGGCGTTGGTTGGTGACGTGAGCTCGATCCGTCGGGTGTTTGACTTTCTTGACCAATGGGGGCTGATCAACGCTGATGTGCCAGGAGGGGGCGGAGCAGGAGGAGCAGCAGCAGCCAATGCCTCGGCCGCTGCTGCCGCAGCAGCAGCCATTGCTGCTGCAACAGCTGCTGCTTCATCTACCGGTCTAACCACTCGCAGGCGTGCTGCTGCCGCTGCAGCAGCAGCAGTGGCAGCAGTTCAAGATTCCACTACTGACGATGCTACAGCTGATGCTGCCGCCTCTGCGGCTCTTAACCCCTGGCCTGAGGTCGCCCCCTTGGAATCAGAATTAGCAGCAAAGGGCGGTGTCTCTCGTCTCGCCGTTCCTGCAGTCAAACAAGAAGGCCTCATGGCTTCGGATTTGGTCTGCACCTTTTCTCGGGGAGCCGTGCCTGGCGCTAGGCCCGGAGCCGCAGGTTCGGCAGCAGGTTCGGGAGCAGCCGGACCAAGGAAGCCTGGGACAGTGCGAACTGCTGAGCTGGCGCTGCTGGGAATGGTGGGGGATGCGCACTGTAGCACGTGTGGTACCCAGTGCACGAAGTTACGTTACCACTCAGTTAAACACCCACCCATGGATCTCTGCCCTAAGTGTTTCTCTCAAGGGAAAGTCCCTTCGTCCCGGTCCTTAGCCGAATTTTTGCGGGTTGAGGCACCTGTTATACCATCTGATGCAGCAAGAGTGAGTGTGACTATAGAGAGCACCCCAGCTATAGCTGCAGGAGCACCTGCTGCGGCGGCCACAGCTACCGCCGCTGCTGCAGCGGCAGCCAGCACAGGAGCTGGAGGAGGTTCGGAAGCTCCAGGCTCGGTGGCAGGCTTGGCAGCAGAGGGAGTGGCCGCAGCAGCAGCAGTGGCAGCTGGAAGTGGGTGGAGTGAGGAGGAGGTGTTGTTGTTGCTAGAGGGAATTGAGATGTTTGGGGATAGCTGGGAGAAGGTGGCGGGGCACGTGAAGACGAAAGACCGAGCTCAGTGTCTGGCTTATTTTGTCCGCATGCCCATGGGTGACTCGTTTGAATCGATCACTGTGCCACCTGCCTCAGTCACACCTGCGCCAGTCACACCTGCGCCAGTCACACCTGCCCCAGAAGCTCCTCCTGTATCTGCCACAGCTGCTGTTGCTGCTGTCACTGAGAGGAGTGAGGGAGATGAGAAGGGAGGGGAGGGGAGGGACGGAGGTGGGGTGGGTGAAAAGAAGGGTGACGTGGAAATGCAAGCTGCTGACGTGGGAGAAGATGCAGCAGCTGAAAACGCAGGGGAGATTGGAGCAGAGACCACAGAGCATGACTTGGGAAGAATAGGCACGAAGAGGAAGGGATCGGAGCTGGAGCAGCAGCCTTTGAAACCAACAGTAATGGGCCTGGACGAACCAATTCCGTTTGGCGACAGTGGTAACCCTATCATGGCGCAGGTGGCGTTTATCTCTGGTGTGGCTGGGCCGCGAGTGGCTGCTGTTGCTGCTCAGGCTGCTCTGGCGGCGCTTGTGTTTGAAGACCCGTCTGCCCTGGCTGAGTTGCACCAGGCTGCTGCTGAGGCAGAGGCGAGGGCAGTAGCAGCAGAGGAAGAGGCAAAGGCAGTGGCTGCAGAGCAAAAGGCAAGGACAGTGGCTGCAGAGCAAAAGGCGACGGACGCTGCGGCAGCAGCAGCTGAGCATGAGGTGAAGGCAGGGGCAGGGGCAGGGGCAGGGGCAGGGGCAGGGGCTCAAGCAGCAGCAGGAGAAGGAGGAGGAGGGGGACTAGCAGCAAAGGGAGAGAAAGAGGGAGGAGCGGAGACAGGGAAAGCAACATTGGCGGAAGGAAGCAGTGCTGCTGGTGGCGCTGCTGTTGATTTTGCTGGTGATACTTCTGGTGATACTGCTGTTACTGCCGCTTCCGAAGGTGGTGTTGGGGATAAAATTGCTGCTGGGCATGAAGGGGATGGCGGCGCGAAAGGGGATCCTGCTGAAAAGGAGGGTGATGTCAAAGAGGATGCTGTTAAAGGGAATGCCGTTAAAGGGGAGGAGGGTGTGAAAGGGGATGCCGTTAAAGGGGAGGAGGGTGTGAAAGGGGATGCCGTTAAAGGGGAGGAGGGTGTGAAAGGGGATGCGGAAGCTACTGATGATAAGGGACAGGTACAGATGGAGAGAGGAGGAGAGGAGAACGAGGGACAGAAAGAGGAGGGGGGTGGGAAAGTGAGGAAGATAGAGAGTGATGGTGGCATAGCTGGCATGGATGTTGATGGAGGTAAGGAGGCGAGCAAAGGGGATGAGGAAGGGAAGGGAGGAGGTGACGTTGGAAAGGAGGGGGAGGAGAGTAGGGAAGGTGGGGGTGCAAAGGGCGAGCAGGGAGAGAAGAGAGAGGGGAATGAGATTGGCATGGCTGCAACAGGTACAGATGCAGCAGCAGGAGAAAAGACCACACCAGAGAAAGCAGAAGGAGCAGCAGGAGCAGGAACAGGAGCAGGAGCAGTAGCAGGAGGAGGGGGAGGAGCAGAAGGGGAGGCAGGAGGAGGCAAGGGCCCTCAACGCCGCGTTCCCTCTCTGAGCGACGTGCCGTCAGCGCTGCGCATTCGAGCTGCTGCTGCCACCGCAATGGCTGCTGCAGCGGTGAAGGCGCGGCTGATGGCGGAGGAGGAGGAGCGGGAGATGCGACGAGTCATGGCTGAGCTGGTGGCCAAACAGGTGAGCTGGTTGATGATTTAAGGGGCTGCTGCTTGTTGTGGCCACGGTCATGGGTGCTGCAGCGGTGAAGGCGAGGCTGATGGCGGAGGAGGAGGTGAGGAAGATGCGGCGAGTGATGGCAGAGCTGGTGGCCAAACAGGTGAGCGGGCTGGTTTGTTTGTTTGTTTGTCTGTCTGTTTGTTTGTTTGTTTGTTTGTTTTTTTTTGTTTTTATTTTTTCCCCATTTTTCTTTTCTCCGCTCCCACCCTCACAGTGTTTGAAGCTGGAAAAGAAAATGCTTCAGTTTGAGAGGCTGGAGCAGCTGATGACACGGGAGGGAGCAAGCATCAACAGGCAGAAAGCAGCGATTCTTTCATTATCATTCCTCTCTTGTCTATTTCCCTATCTTCTCCCCACTTTTCTCCCCCGTCCTCCCAGTGTCTGAAGCTGGAGAAGAAGATGCTTCAACTCGAGAGGCTGGAGCAGCTGATGGCACGGGACGGGAGGGTCTGCTGCAATACTTCATTTTCATTCTTTCTGTCTCCCCCATTCTTCTTCTCTCCGCTCCGGCCATCACAGTGTTTGAAGCTGGAAAAGAAAATGCTTCAGTTTGAGAGATTGGAGCAGCTGATGGCACGGGAGAGGGCGAGCATAGACAGGCAGAGGGCTGCACTGTTTGAAGAAAGAATGAGGCTCGTCAGAGAAAGAGCTGCGATTCGTGCTGCTGCTGCTGGTGGTATTGGTGCTGATGGTGCTGCTGGTGGTATCGTTGGAGGTGTTACGCGTGATGGTGCTGGCTAGATACATAACTGGAAACTCGAAAGGGAGAGAGCGGGCAGAATGAGAGACAGGAATGAGTCTTATCAGGGAAAGAGCTGCTATTTGTGCTGCTGCTGCTGCTGCTGCTGCTGCTGGTATTGGTGCTGGTGCTGGTGCTGGTGGTATCTTTGGAGGTATTTCCACTAATGGTGCTGGTTAGATACATAACAGGAAACTTGAAAGGGAGGGAGGGATCAAGCTTCGACAAGCAGAGGGTTGGCTGTTTGAGGAGAGAATGAGGCTCGTCAGGGAGAGAGCTGCTACAGTGATGGTGCTGGTTAAATGCATCACCAGGCAGTGCTGTTTCAGAATAGAGTGCAAGACACACTATGAGAGTGGCAGTCTAGCTCGTGAGGGAGAGAGATGTTTTACATGCTGCTTCGGCTGGTATCGCTGCGGGTGCTGGTGCGGGTGCTGGTGCAGGTGTGGGTGCAGGTGCAGGTGCAGAAGCGGGTGCAGGTGCGGGTGCTGGGGTGGGTGCTGGGGTGGGTGCTGGGGTGGGTGCTGGTGCTGGTGGTACTGTTGGTGGTGATGGTGGTGGTGATTCCACTGATAGTGCTGGTTAGATTCTGGTAGCAGAGAAATTTATGGCAGGCATAGGGTAGTGCCACTGCGCTGTTTTGGTGTGAAAATAAGGCCTGTCAAGGAAAGACCTGCTCTGCTCTTCGTACTGCTTCTGCAACTTGAAGATGTTTTCAGTATCCACGTTGGAATCCTGAGGATGTTCTGTATCCACAGCAACTTGGATTTGCCATATTTTTAGCAGGCGCATAGCAAATACTTTGACCTAGACCAGTGCTTTGTGAATATCCAGCTACTTGAACGTTTCTACAGTGTGTTTTATCACACCTTTTGTATCTGTCTGGTTTGCTCATCCCTACCCGTCGCATCAACTCTGCGTGTTGTAAGGGCCCTGGAAGGTGCATGCATGCAGCATTTGAATGTGCCCACTGCCCATGCCTTCTGTTTCCTCTCACCATCAGCAGCAATCCGCGAAACCACACTTGCCATGCCACTTGATACTCGCTGCAATAAGAAACCGCTGCAACCTGAGGGACGGCCAGACCGCATACGCCACTCGTGAGGTCTTTCTTAGGGCGTGTGTGAATCTAATTGCAGTTCAAAAATGGGATCGAACCTAGTGTGGTAACCGATTTCGAGCATGCTCGCCAACACTTTCGCCAATGCCGTGTTCACTTTGTCAAGCACGAAACTCGAACCCCGAAAAGTGAACAAGTTTCGAGTATATGAGCAAACGTGGTTTTGCACGTTGTAGTGAGCGTGTGTGGTTTCAGGCACGTACGCGGAATGTGCGACACTCGCAACAAAGTCGTGAAATTCGTTGATGTGTCGCGCTGTCAAGATGCCGATACTGAGTAACCTACGCACCCTAGAAGCGGTTCGGTTCCCCCCCTACAGGCTCGAACTTGCAGATTCGCACTTGCGCGTGTGGTTGTGAGTTTACAACTTTTGACACTTGCGGTTCGAGCCTTGCAAGCACTCAAAATCGAGTCAGGTTCGCTTAGTGTTCACTTGCTACAATCGAGTCAAAAACCTAAACTTAAGGTTAAAACTAGATTCAAACACGCCCTTAGTTGACTGCCTGTCGTTAGTTGACTCTGTTCACGTGCCGGCGTCCCCATATGGCTTACGCGTAACTGCCGTGGCGTGGCAATACGAGGCGATGTCACGCGACGCGACACAAATTCTTCTCCGTCAGTCCTAATCTTTAGAGCCGACGGTCTTTTTGCCTCAGGCTAGTCCGACAGCCTCATCTCCTCTCCCTCCCTCAGTCAAACAGAATCAGCCATGAGAGCGAATTACCTCAACCCGAGGTTGTAATCGGGGAACCAGGGTTTGTGTTTGTTGCTGTCAGCTGGTTAAATCAAATCCAAATGCCAGCTCGTCAACTGACTTGCGAGGCGCAAGGAGGATATGTAATTCGCTCCACTCAGGTACAAATTGCGTGTTCGCTTGTTGCACGGCTGCTTCATCCCTTTTCTCCCATTTTCCATCGAACAGTGATCGATCCAATCCGGGCTCAGTATGGCAACCATCCGCGCCATAAAACGCATTGTGCAATTAGCAACCTGGTGCATCACACTGCCTATACAACAGCAAATACCGTATGTTCAACAAATATAATCAGGATTTGCATGCAAACACGGTGTATGATCTATCATCAATGAAAGCTGTAGCATGAGAGATCAATTGTCAGGTCTTACATATCGTACAACCCAAAACACAATATACAGGCTGCAAATCAAAGGCTAAGGTAGGCTACGGCATGCTAAGTCCCATGATCAGTTAGGTTAGTATTACCAGGTAAAAGTTCGTCAGTTGTCAAGGGATATGTGCACACTAACGTGCTTCGACACGCCACAGGCAGGGCATGCTGCCGTGCGTGGCTCACAGGCTCGGCACAGTGCCAAGTGCCTGCAGGGAAGAAGCACCACTGAGGCTTCGCCAAACTTGCAGGCCCGGCAGACGTGCTTCAAGCGAGAGTCATTCGCAGCACGCTCCGACGGATTAAACTTCTGGTTCGGAACTGCAGGGGCAGATGAAAATCTGCTTGCAGGAAAAAACACCAAAATCTGAACCATCTTCACAAATGGGCGCGGCGTCGCAAATAGAAACCGCATCCTCCGCAGGACCCTCTCCTTGCCGCACACACCCGCCTACTGCCACGTCATCACTGTCTCCCGAGCCTTCGCGAAATCGCTCCTGCTGAAGCTGTTGCTGGGAGCTTTCAAGCGAACGCTGAAGAGAAGACACTGTACGTTGTGACGCGACAAGCAGGTTGTGTGCTGAAGCGAGATTTGCTTGTAAAGCGGAAACTTGTTGCTCCAGCTCCGCCACTCGCCGCTTGCTCCCCGCAGCTTCTTCTACCGCCGCCGAGACTACCGCGCGCACTTGACCCGCAACCGCCTGCTGAATCAGCGTGGAAAGCGCATTGCCGTCAAACCCTCGCGCAAGCATCGGGTATGAATGCTGCACCGACGATTGGTGACAGAACCCCGTTTGCTGCGACTGGTATAGAAAGTCCTCGTGAGTGTGGCCATATGCTGCATGCGCCTCGCAACGAGGACGCTTCAAACGAGGATGGAAATCCTCAGCCTGAGGCGCTGTTAGAATTGATGTGTGCGCAGAGGCATGTGCGATGTCGGCGGGTCCCAGATAGCACCCCGCTGCAGCGGACGACTCAACTGTAGAGTGCGACGAGAGATTAGGTAGTGACGGTGCGACGTCGCACGTCGCGTCGCATAGTGGCTGCGAAGTCGGCGCTGTAGGCGAGAGAAGCGCTGTCGCGCACTCGCGAAGCAGGAGCTGGCGCCGTAGTTGCAAGCGCTGTTGTCGCTGGTGCTGCTGCTGCCGCTCCTGCTCTTGCTGCTCTTGCATCAACGCCAGGAGCAGATCGTTCAGGCCTGAGTCGTCGGAAAAGGTGGAGTCATGGCTCGCCACTGCAGTGGCTGCGTCTCTGCTACGTTTACAACAAACGGAACTGCCGAGGAACTGCAACTGAAGAGCTGAGGGAAATGCTGCCGTGTCCGCCATCATTCTAATTCACTCTGTCAGAGCTGAGAGTGTGAAGTTTGCTAATCGGAACGGAGCTGATGTTGAAGCTTGAAATTACGATCGAGGAAATGGAGTAGCGCTTAAAGCCGGCGGCCCAAATTGTTCATGCTTTTAAAAGTTGACCAGAGGGAGTTTTTCTGGTGTGGGCTTTGGCGAGAGTTTCCGATTTCGTCTAGGTTCGTTTTTTTCGCGAGACCCAGCCAACCCTCGGTTTTCCCCCTGGTGAGTGAATCTGTCTTCGAAAGTCCCAAATTGCAAGTGCGTGACTTTCAAAAGCTTGGACACTCAACTTCGTCAAGTTTTAAAAACTTGACCCTCGCGGCCCGCAATTTGGGACGCGGGCTTTAAATGTACCAGAAGCTGAAGTGATCAGGATGTGAATTGAGGAGTGTTCTGCATCAACCCAGGAATAGTGTGCAGGGACAGTCAAGTCCTATACTGTACCAGAAGGGCCGAAGGCGCGAAGAGCCGAGGACAACCTATTGCACGGAATTTGGGGCAACAAACAAATCAAGCCGTCATCATTGCTTCGATTGTCCGGCTCAGCTTCAATTGGGGCAACAGTTCGCATCAGGACGGTTGTTACTAGAGGAGAAGCACAAGGTGGATGGTGCGGAGCATTGCAAGGCGTGGCAGCAGCCAACGGGACCGCATGTGCGAATCAGGATCATGCCACACCACGCCAAGGGTCACAATTTCTGGTGGAGAAATTATACGCGCAGTCACAATTATGGCCGTATTATCACGTTTGGTCACGGGGTTATCACGGACAGTCACAGTACAGTACTTCGCTATCACGCATGATCACAGCGCTATCACGCTTGATCACTCCTCGCCCCGCAGGGTTATCACGTTTGGTCACTCGTTGAAACGCCCGCCAAAAAGTCGAAACTCTCAAATCTACTGTACAGATTCGGGTACTCGCGCGCGTTTTGTCTGTAGTGAAAAACGTGATGTGACTGTCGAAATATACTCGGTCCTTGTTAGGGACCGATGCAGTTTAATGCAGAGTCCGCAAACTATTGTCTGCTGTTATTATTAAAAATAAATAAACTGTACTAATTTGTTGCAAAAGTACCAAAGAAAACCATCAATTCTAAGAAACATCATATCTTATCAATCGATTGTGCGCCTGAGACTGAACTTGTTTTTAGCTTGTTAGCAATGTAGTGAATGAAGTGAACGCCAATAATAAAACTATTCGGAAGAACGGACATACCGTATGTCGAACTACCACAACACAATGTGTTAGACAGTATCAAACTATACAGGTTACAGTTATCAATTATTCACATCGGCATAAGCTTATATTAAAAGATGCAATTACACTAAACATGTCCATCATAAATGGGTTTGATTAATTCTAAACAGTTAAATTACACATATCAACCAACGCAATTACGTGTCGTATATGCATTTCCCGGCCTGTAACGTTCAATGGTTTTCCATCTAATATAAGTCAATTGTATGGGTTTCCCACCAGCTAAAGCTATTGTCACTGTGCTAAACATAATTACAATGCTCTCACTGTTTAAATCATTCGACCAAAACCCATGTCTTTGGTTTATGGATGAAATGCACACCATAAACTAATTATATAATCGAAACTGCTACTGCATCGGTCCCTAACAAGGACCGAGTATATTTCGACAGTCACATCACGTTTTTCACTACAGACAAAACGCGCGCGAGATAAAAGTACCCGAATCTGTACAGTAGATTTGAGAGTTTCGACTTTTTGGCGGGCGTTTCAACGAGTGACCAAACGTGATAACCCTGCGGGGCGAGGAGTGATCAAGCGTGATAGCGCTGTGATCATGCGTGATAGCGAAGTACTGTACTGTGACTGTCCGTGATAACCCCGTGACCAAACGTGATAATACGGCCATAATTGTGACTGTGCGTATAATTTCTCTTTCTGGTGGCGCCGCCGTGTACAGTGTGCTGCCTGGCGTCATTTCGTCAAGTGCTTCTCCTGGCTGGTGTTGTTTGTTGGCCCCAACTGCACTTGGCGCACTGTTGCCGTTGTAACCCCCAACCTTCTGTTTGCTAGCCATCACGACTGTTCTTCCAGAATTTTGCGCATGCCGTCGATTTGAAAGATGGGGGGCGACACGCTGCTGCTTTGAGGCACGCGACGCGACTTGTTTCCGAAATGGGTCTCATGCAGTCTCTGTTGTCGTTAAATGGCGCCCACAGCCGCTGGCTCCTGCGGATTTGATGTGATGAGTTGTGACGTGGATTGTATGAGTCGCAAGCTGACAATTGCTGCATTTTCCAGGGGACAACCGTTCTCTCACAAGAGAAGATATCCTACATGCAATACAAAGCTTCCTGGGTTTGGGCAACTGCAGTTTTCAAACATTTGCCGCATGCGAAACTGTAGTTAGTAGACTTCGAACTTGTGCACCTTGCATATTCATGGAAATTCCGTACGAGTTTTCCGAGCTCACTGTATGCACTCAACAATCATTGTGATTGAAAAGAAACTGAAATCAATAAATACTACTTCGCTGAATCAGAGGGCAGGAATGGAGGAGCCCAGAAAATAGTTTTATCTTCTTAAAGGTTCGGAAGAAGGTATAATTCCATGCGTTAATTGCTCGGCTTCATAACTCACCTCTTGGGAAGTGTGGATCCACAGTCCAGAGAAACGCGTCAAGGTCCATGAAGTGTACAGTTTCCCGCTTATGAATGACTCTTCTATGGATCCAGCGGGCAGAACGCTGAAACCTCATTTGTTGCTGCTGCGTACGGATGGAGTACGCGTAGGATTGTCATTCCATGCGACCCATCACAGACAATTTCCTACAAGTTGTCGCCACATCATCTCACCACCTAGGTGTTGAATTTCTGTTTTCCCAACCGACCCGAGCTGAATGGCAGGAGAAGAGGGCAGGACGCAGGTCTCAAGTGCTGACCAAGCGGGTTCACTGCCATGCCATGCCATGCCATGCCTTGAGTTCATCTACAGAACACGAAGACAATTTCGGAGTGTCACTTGGAGGGAGGCAGTTTTCCAGCAGCAACGGCAGGGAAATGAATGGATCCACTGTTGCACGAAGTGATCTCCATGAATGACCGTCTGCACTGCAGGGAATGCAGCAGCACTGTTATCCACACGTAAGTATCTTCTCCGTCATGCATCCGTTTCGGTACAGGTACATTTGTTTCTCTGACTCATACATTGTCATACGTAGGGATCTGGTCGGGCTACAATACGAAGATCTGTGACATCTGGTCCAAGGTATTGCATAGAGTGGAAAAAGAAACATATAATACTGCTTCCGGTTGTGGATTCATAGATGTTTGGTTCACTTACGGTCCGACATACCTGAGACCACAGTTTTAGATTCACGATACGTTTGAGAATCAGGTGTAGAACTCGGCGTGTTGTAGACAGCTTTCAAGATTAATGTGGCAAGTGGTAGTTTTTTGCGTGCTTGATGTGAAGGAAGGAACCAAGGAAGCCCACACCAGCCCGAAGAAGCCGATTTACCCAGCACAGTCGACCTTTGCCACCAAGTCTCGCATGTTTCGCTACTGTTTTGAAAGCTCAGGCCGGGTGTTCAGGAAGAGAGTGTATTTTCTGTAAAGGGAATAAATAGAGTTGTATCTCTTTTTCCCAGGTAAAACTGTACCCTGATTCCACGGTCATGTGAAGGTATTTCAACTTACAAACAAGCTGGAATTGCGTAGACCGTACTTCACAGTGCTGATGTATGAAATCTCAAGCGAGGCGGTGGCAACAGAGAAACAGATCTAAACCGAATGGTACAGTCGCCGCTCCCCAGTCCCCCCATACCGACCTGCTGCTGCATCCTGCCAGCTATGAATGCATTTGTGAGCGCCCCTTTTGATGGCCAGCGCAGCACGAAGCCATCGTCAATCCTTGCTCACTTCCCGTGACATGCAACAGTTTCCGAAAGAAAAACAAACGTCCCAACTCTCCTGGAAAACAGCTCTGAGCTGCGATGCGAGCTACTGCATTGCTGTCCTTCGCAGACTTTGGATGGAAGGCCAGTCTTTTTGCCCCGATCGCGAGGAAACTGCTACACAGCATGGTATAGAATGATGCCGTTTCAAGAATACGAAATGGCATGCATAGAAAATCAGGTTATTACATATCCACTACACTGATACGTGCAGTTGGTTATATGTTTAGTTAAATACATGTATATCAATGCGGAAAAAACATGATTGCTTCATAATCGTCAAGCGCAACATCTTTGAACCATGGCTTTATTGCACAAAAGATACGTTCAACCATTTGCTTCATCTGTACCCTCCAGGACATCAACCAACGCTTGCGCTTTCGCCTTCGCTCTCCCCGAACAAACATCACTTCGTAACAACTCCTCCAAAGCCGGCAAAACCCCTTCCTCCACCATCCTCCTTCCCAACTCCTCCCCATCCTCCTCCCCACTCCCATCTCCACCATCCCCCTCACCACCTCCCCTCAAATGCCCCCCAGTTGCCAGCAGCAGCAAGGTCATAATAGCGTCCTCTTGAGCTCGTGGTGAGCCGCTAGCAACAACAGCAACCAACACTGCAATCGCATCACCCACACCACCACCACTCGCACCAATCCTACCACTGCCACCACTTCCACCATTGCCACTCCCACCACTACTACCACCGCTGGGCCAGCCTTTTCCGTCTGCTGTTACAAGCCTAGCGCGGCCCTCTTTCAACCGGCAGATATTAGCCAGCACAGCCATTGCTTTCTCCTCCAACCCAGACTCTTTATAAGCAAGCACCTCTAAAAGCACTTCCACCGCACCCGCTTGAACTAACTCCAACGCCCCTTTCGCGTCTCTTGATACATTAAATAACACGAGCGCAGAGTCTTTTCTCCCTCTAGTGGACCCCGTTTTAAGCACATCCAGCAGCAGCGGCACTGCCCCGCTTCCCCTAACCTCCATAAGAAGCGACTCGCTAACCGACAGAGTGAACAGCGCTGCTGCGGCGCCTTCTTTTGAAGCTACAGTGCCGCCTTGGAGTAAACTAACTAGCTGCTTCACGCCATTGCACGCTGCTATCTCCCCTGCTACCCCTTTCACTAGAGACACCAGCAGCAGGCACGAAACTGCATGCTCCTGAGTTTTCACATCAGAGGCAGAGAGCAGATCCACAATGAGCCGCACTCCACCGCACTCCACCGTGATTTCCTTCGCCGAAGGCTGCTTCCTAAGAAGCGACCGGAGAGACGACACAGCTTCCCTTAGCTGGCGGTCAGAAGACGACGAGGGTTTGTTGGACTGAGAAGAAGAGGAGGAGGAGGAGGAGGCGGAGGAGGAGCGGATAGTTGCAAGCAACTCCCGAACCTCATCTGATGTGTCAGCGGTGACAGAAGCACCAGCAGAACCTCTAGAGGCTGCTGCTGCTGCCGCCCCAGTCGCATCCGGCTGCTGCTGCTGCTGGTGGTGCTGGGAGCGCTGGGGAGAATCCGGGTGCTCCTTTTTCCTCGACCAGTCTGGCAACACTCCCCCTAGAGGGCTTAGAGGCCAACGCTCCCTCCCCACTCTGCCCCCTCCACTTGCCTCTCCCGCCCCTCCTCCTCCCCCTCCTCCCCCAGATCCTCCCCCTGCCCCTCCCCCTGCCCCTGCCCCTGCCCCAGCACCTGCGCCTCCTCCTACTCCTCCCCCTCCCCTCATCGCATCCAGCAGACCCAGCACGTTCCCTGCGCTTCCAGTCTTCCGCCCAAGCCCTCCCCTCCCCCCGTCCGCCCCTGCGCCCACCCCTTTTGACCCCGACCCCACCCCACTCCCCCCCGACCCACTTCCCCTCACCCGCCCTCTCCTTCCCCCTTCCCCAAAGCCCCCCCCTCCCCCCCAACCACCACCACCGCGGGGGCTCCGCGCATCAAGAAAAACGATCCCCCTGGGGCTCCTCACTTCCAGCGATCCGCTGCTTCCGCTCCCCCCTCCGCTCCCCCCTCCCCCTCCGCCCCCCCCTGCGCCTCCGCCCCCTCCAGGGACCCTAGGGCTGGGGAAATCCATGGGGCCTCCGCTGCTGAACCCGCTGCTGCTGTCACTGCTGCTGCCGGGGCTGAGAGGCCCCAGGAAGAGGCGGGAGGTGCGCTCCTGCGCGGAAGTTTCCGGGGGACTCGTGATGGCTGTAGCGCCGGCTGTAGCGGCTGTAGTATTCAAGGCTGCAGCAGCAGAAGAGAAGCCACGTGGAGGGTACGTGCTCGCGAGGCCTATCAACTCCACTGCCGAACCTCCCGTGCTGCTCGATTTCTTAACCCCTGCTGCTCCTGCTGCTCCTGATGCTGCTGCTGCTGCTGCTGGTGCCTTTTGGGGGGAATTGCTGGCGCCAACACCGCCAACAGCAGCAGCAGCAGCAGCAGCAGAAACAGTCCCGGCAGCAGCAGTACCAGCAGAAGCAACAGCAGCAGATGCGCCACGCAGCCGCCCCTGCACCTGCTGCTGCACCTGCTGCCCTCCCTGCACCACTTTACCCATCCCCGCTTTAAGCTGCCTCACCACCTCGTGAAACGACTGCCCTAACGGATCATCCAATGAGGAGGACGCAGGAGCCACAGTGGAGACTCTGCGTAACCCGTCTCCTACTGTAGCGCCCGCCTTTTTGAGACCTCCGCCAATCGCCTTGCCAAATCCAGCAGCCATGTTCATGGGGTTACCCATCCCTCCTCCCCCACCTCTCGCTCCCCCTGCTGTCCCGCCTCCCCCTCCCGTTCCCCCTCCCGCTCCGCCTCCGCCTCCCCCTCCCCCTCCGCCTCCCCCTCCGCCGCCTACCCTACTACCTCCGGTTTTTGATAGCCCTGAGCCCTGCCCCTGCCCCTGCCCCTGCCCCTGCCCCTGCCCCTGCCCCTGCCCCTGCCCCTGCCCCTGCCCCTGCCCCTGCCCCTGCCCCTGCCCCTGCCCTTGCCCCTGCCCTGGCTGTCTGCTGCTGCCGCCGCTGCTGCTGCCACTATACCCTGCGCTCCTACCCCTGCTGCTTGTATCGAAATCAAACTCGTCGTCCTCGCTATAAGCCCCCCGCTTCACAAACTCAAACGATTTCGGCTTTAACTGCTGCCTGCCGCCACTGCCTCTAGCGCCTGTACCTGTATCGAATTCATCATCCTCGTTATGAGCTCCCCTCGATTCAAACTCAAAAGACTTGTGCTTTCTCTGAGACACCTGCTGAGTCTGAACCCTAGAACTGCCAGGGTTGCTCCCTCCTACCATCCCTCCCAACCGCACTCCACCGCCGCTCATAACCCTCCCAGAACTCCCCACCCCATCTGACCTCGCGCTCTTCCCTTCCCCGTGGAAACTTTCTAGGGCAGCCAAAAAATCATTCTGCCCGGCGTCTCCATCCCCCATGCCCCCTCTTCCGGGCCTCAGGTTTTGCGGCTGTAACGACCCCCCCCGAAGTAGCCCCCCCGCCCCCCGAGCCCCGCCCACACCGCCGCCCAAACTTCCGCCCGCCCCACCTCCCCTACTTTCCCCGCGCGCCAGCTGCGCCGTCCGCGCGGGGTTCTGGGCCGTGCTTCTATTGAGCGGGCTTTTAGCGAAATCCCTCGCCAGAGCAGCGCCTCCGCCTCCGCCTACGCGACCGCTGCCCCCCGCTTCCCCCCCCGCAGACACCCCATCCACCCGCGCGCTCCCCCCTGCCTCACGCCCGCTCGCCCTCCCGCTGCCCGATTTTTCCAGCAGGACGCTATCAAGTACGTCGTGGAACGCTGTGATTGGCTGGCGCGCGGATGACGTGTCTCCGGGCTGCAGGGAGATGGTTCGGCGGAGCCCTTCCCCCAATCCTCCGCCAGCAGTTGCGCCACCTGGAATTCCGCCGAGACCTCCCCCAGGGCCTCCCCCCGCCGCCCCCGCTCTTGGGTTCCCCGCGCGGCCTCCGCGCATGGGGGAGAGCGCGTGCGCCATGCCCTTTAGGGCGGACCGGGCAAGGCCTCTGCCGCCGCCACCACCACCGCTCTGTCCCTGCTGCTGCTGCCGAAGGTTCGCGAAAGCTAGGTCGTCGGATGCACTCCAAGATTCAGATCCTACGGTTCTCCTGCCTCCTCCTGCAAAATCCCTCACTCCTGACTGGTCGAAACTGAAGGTCACATGCCCCTGCGGCGGCTGCTGCTGTGGCGCGAGTCTTCGTCTATCCTCGATATCGTCCTCCCCGTCATCCGATAAGAACATGTCCAGTATCGCGGTTTTCGATTCCACAGAATGCGTTCGCCGCAAACCCGCTCTGCCATCGCGGTTGCGCGCAAGCCCCCCTCCGCCAATGCCTCCCCCTAACCCGCCCAGGCGCACGTTCCCCTGCCCCGCTGTTCCGCCTAACTCGGTTCCCCCCTGCCCCTTCCGCCAGCTGGGCGCGCCTTCCATCCGTACAACTGCGCCTACGCCTTCCCCCGCGCTGGACACGCGCATCACTCCCCCCACCCCTTCCGCTCCGCCACCCCGCCCAAACCCGGTAAAAGCTCCAGGCGGGGGAGTGCGGGAGCGGAGATCAAACGGCGGGTTGTTTCTGGGCGACTGGGGAATCCGCGCTCCGCCTCTGCCGGTGGGAGTTGCGCTTGCGCTTCCGGCTCCCCGCCCTCGAGGAGAGCGCAACACAGGCCTCTCGCCGTTCCGCGCGCCCCTGGCGCTACTATTGCGCCCTTCATCCTCGCTCATTCCGCCTTCCGACCAAAACCCGCTCCCCCTTCCGCGCGCGCTGCCGCTTCCTCCATCGCCTCCCCCGGAACTTGCCGGAATTCCGGCAGACGACGGTCCGAAATCGGCTCCAGGGACCAAAGTAGTGACTAAACCGGGTGTGACCCCGTTTCTGTCACACCAAGAGGAAATTAGATCCCTTAAAGCCTGATTCGATAAAAGGTGCGTGTGCTCTAGTCGATCGCCAGTTTTCGGGCAGGTCGTGTGACCTTCGTCGAACCATCGTTGGATAGCTGCACGTTCGTACGTCTGACCAGATGCAACGATTGCTGGATCGGACATGAGTTGTAACGACAGCGGGCAAACGAACTCCGGCGGAACTTCCAGATGCGTTTCAACTGCCTCAGCTGCAGCAGCGGCTGCAGCGGCAGCCGCTGCCGCAGCACGTTTCAACACGAACGAGTCTGACGGAAGGAGGATCTTCATGCTCGGCCGGTTAGGTGGACGGCCGGCACGCCCGTCACTCCCTTTCACCACCGGCATCCCTAACGGCGACGTTAAAAACTTAATTTAAGTGCTAATAGCTGATAATTCTGGGAGCATGGATTAGTGGAGTTGGTGGTGGTCCGATTCTTGACAGACTCGACATGTGGTGCGCATCTAGCAGGAAACCCTAATTTTACTTTCTGCCGCATGCATGTGCAGAAAATTGCTGCTTGCTCGCTCGCCAAAACATGCTTGCTGCAGATCCTGTCAGGCGTGCAAATACACAGGTACAAGGACGACCGCGGACTGTTGTGGTGGTGTTGCTTGCATGGGCGAAGAGGTGAACCATGAGCAACCGCGACTGAGGCCGCGTTCCGTGTCGCCGCGAACAAGGCACTTTCGAAGTTACAGCTGCTCTACACAGCAATCTGAGTGCGACAGTGTGCGACCGTTATGTCGGTCGTCGTCAAGCACTTGAGCGCCGTTTCAGCTCGCACACCTTTTCAACGCTCAATCCTATTGGTCCCAGAGATTACTGGTTTACCGACGAAGCATGCTTCGACCTTGCTGAGAACAGTTTCTTCTGAGGACATCGAGTGTGTGCGACGTTCTCAACTTTCCTGAAAACGGTTACTTCAGTTTCAGGAAATCGAGTGTGATGTGTAAATTTTGGAACTGTTATGTAAGTAGGATGTAAGTAGCCTCTGTAAGTAGGGCAATGGCATACGAACCGTCTGTAGCCCAGGTACTTAAGGGAGATGTTATGTCTAATGAGCAAGGGGAAAAAGAGATGGTTCAACAGATTTGATGGTGCCCTACTTACACAAGTTTCTTCTGAGGACATCGAGTGTGTGCGACGTCTATCGTTGTTCAACAGTACAGTACTTGCATCTTTAGACTAAGGCCTTGTTCTGTGGCTCCTTAACTCAGAGTTAACTGGGTTCGTGGTGGCTTCAATAACTCAGGCCTTACACGTGTGAACGTTACAATCACACCGTGCCAGCTAACTCAGAGTTAGCAAATAAGGGTTCCACATACACAAAGTTATAACTCAGAGTACGCTTCGTAGGAAGCATACACTGAATCTTCTCTCACGGGCAAATTAACTAGCGCTTTCCCTTACTCGGGCTTTTGGGTGAAAGTTGGCTGCACGACTCTGAGTACGGCTCGAGAGGGGTTACCTCAACAATGCCCACATTTGGTTCTTTCCAACTAGTCCCCATGCTGTGCTGCGTGAAGTTGAATTATTTTGCCTCATGGTCACCCTTTCGCGCAGTTTTTTTCGGAAGGGGCGGCACTTCGGGTTGAGACTAAAAGTTTAACCAGAACAACTTCGAGAACGCCCCTGGAACTTCCTTAACTCTGAGTTACGAGGCCACAGAACACCAAGGTGAGTTACAACTCCAACACTCACACGAGCGTAATGATTAATTGTCGGTGTACTCACCCAAACCTACACGGCTCGGTAACTCAGAGTTAGCTAACTCTGAGTTAGCGCCACAGAACAAGGCCTAAGTCGGGAGTGGGCCTGATCTATGGCACTAGGGGGCAACTGTGATTGGCAGCGACTGAGGCGGACAGCAGCGACAAAAGAAGAGGGGTGCGGGGAGAATGAATGGCGGAGAAGGGTGAAGCGAATAGCGCAGAACAGCGCAAATGGCGCAGATGTCGCGCGAATGGCGTGCGAAGAAGGCGGGAGAACTGGCAAGGGGAAAGGAGAAGCGCAGCGCAAGTTTCAAGATCGGGTCAGGAGAATCTTCTGTGGGTCTTTGGCTTGGATGGGACTCTTGGGAGCTCTGGTTCGGTTCTCCAGGGACCCCTGGAAGATCAGGTTTGGTTCGGCACGGCAAGCATCCAAGAGTTTCGGGCCGAGGGTTGGCTGCACGACTCTGAGTACGGCTCGAGAGGGGTTACCTCAACAATGCCCACATTTGGTTCTTTCCAACTAGTCCCCATGCTGTGCTGCGTGAAGTTGAATTATTTTGCCTCATGGTCACCCTTTCGCGCAGTTTTTTTCGGAAGGGGCGGCACTTCGGGTTGAGACTAAAAGTTTAACCAGAACAACTTCGAGAACGCCCCTGGAACTTCCTTAACTCTGAGTTACGAGGCCACAGAACACCAAGGTGAGTTACAACTCCAACACTCACACGAGCGTAATGATTAATTGTCGGTGTACTCACCCAAACCTACACGGCTCGGTAACTCAGAGTTAGCTAACTCTGAGTTAGCGCCACAGAACAAGGCCTAAGTCGGGAGTGGGCCTGATCTATGGCACTAGGGGGCAACTGTGATTGGCAGCGACTGAGGCGGACAGCAGCGACAAAAGAAGAGGGGTGCGGGGAGAATGAATGGCGGAGAAGGGTGAAGCGAATAGCGCAGAACAGCGCAAATGGCGCAGATGTCGCGCGAATGGCGTGCGAAGAAGGCGGGAGAACTGGCAAGGGGAAAGGAGAAGCGCAGCGCAAGTTTCAAGATCGGGTCAGGAGAATCTTCTGTGGGTCTTTGGCTTGGATGGGACTCTTGGGAGCTCTGGTTCGGTTCTCCAGGGACCCCTGGAAGATCAGGTTTGGTTCGGCACGGCAAGCATCCAAGAGTTTCGGGCCGAGGGTTGGCTGCACGACTCTGAGTACGGCTCGAGAGGGGTTACCTCAACAATGCCCACATTTGGTTCTTTCCAACTAGTCCCCATGCTGTGCTGCGTGAAGTTGAATTATTTTGCCTCATGGTCACCCTTTCGCGCAGTTTTTTTCGGAAGGGGCGGCACTTCGGGTTGAGACTAAAAGTTTAACCAGAACAACTTCGAGAACGCCCCTGGAACTTCCTTAACTCTGAGTTACGAGGCCACAGAACACCAAGGTGAGTTACAACTCCAACACTCACACGAGCGTAATGATTAATTGTCGGTGTACTCACCCAAACCTACACGGCTCGGTAACTCAGAGTTAGCTAACTCTGAGTTAGCGCCACAGAACAAGGCCTAAGTCGGGAGTGGGCCTGATCTATGGCACTAGGGGGCAACTGTGATTGGCAGCGACTGAGGCGGACAGCAGCGACAAAAGAAGAGGGGTGCGGGGAGAATGAATGGCGGAGAAGGGTGAAGCGAATAGCGCAGAACAGCGCAAATGGCGCAGATGTCGCGCGAATGGCGTGCGAAGAAGGCGGGAGAACTGGCAAGGGGAAAGGAGAAGCGCAGCGCAAGTTTCAAGATCGGGTCAGGAGAATCTTCTGTGGGTCTTTGGCTTGGATGGGACTCTTGGGAGCTCTGGTTCGGTTCTCCAGGGACCCCTGGAAGATCAGGTTTGGTTCGGCACGGCAAGCATCCAAGAGTTTCGGGCCGAGGCTGGCGGAGGAAGAACCACCTCAAAACCGCTCGGCGTGAGCCTGTCCAGGTTCGGATCGGTTCGAAGGCATGAACGCATTCGACAGAGGTTCACCTGGCTTTCGAAGTGGAACAAAAGAATACACTACGAGGGGGGGTCGATTTCTCATAACGGAATCCCTGTGACCCATAGTTTCTGGATTGTTTTGGAGCTCCTTCAGTTTTTACGGTTCAAGGGATTCACATGATGTGCTTTGTACAGGACATTGTTATGAACCATGCACACTATCCCCGTCCCTTTCCAAAGCTTCTTTTTTGTAAGATCGAGATTTATCACTCTCTTGCTTCTCCTACGTACATTACATACAAGAGCCACTTGGGTGAAATCAATGTTGCATACGGAACCGGTATCTGATGCTCCCATCATCTCAGGTTCACGTGCCCCACGTGGAAGCGCAGCATCACATTTCAACCCCATGTTTCTGCCACTTTATCTTGACCCCCCTGTGCATTCAGCTCCTCGTACGTGCTCAGGCCCTCAGATTGGTTTGAGGGTATGCTGATGGGCCAGCTGTCAAACTGTATGTTTGTGTTATCTCTAGGCTATAGTGGGTTAGCCTACAAGGGGTACAACAGTTTAGGGTTAGGTACTTGTACTCATGCATGCTACCTAGTCCACCATTCCTGCCTGCTTATTCTAACATGGTATTAGAGCAGAATCGTTCCTAGGGCCCACCAAACGTTCCGCCCCTGCAGCCGCGCTGCCCTTGCAGCCCACGTGCTGCCCCTGCGACCGCGCTGCCCCTGCAGCCGTGCTCGCCCCTGCGACCGTGCTGCCCCTGCAGCCGTGCTCGTCCCTGCGACCGTGCTGCCCCTGCAGCCGTACTCGCCCCTGCGACCGTGCTGCCCCTGTAACCGTGCCTGCCCCTGCGATCGTGCTGCCCCTGCAGCCGTGCCTGCCCCTGCGACCGTGCTGCCCCTGCAGCCGTGCCTGCCCCTGCGACCGTGCTGCCCCTGCAGCCGTGCCTGCCCCTGTGGCCCGCATGCTGCCCCTGCAGCCCGCGAGTTCGCCCCTTCAGCCCGTGGGCGCTGCCTCTGCAGCCCGCGCGCCGCCCTGCCGATCCGCGCGTCGCCCCTGCAGCCCGTGGGCGCTGCCCCTGCAGCCCGTGGGCGCTGCCCCTGCAGCCCGTACGCTGCCCTGCAGAGGCGCGCGTCG